ATTTTATTATACACACATATATATATATATATATATATATATATATATGTACATGTATATATGTATGTAAATTGGCAATGAAAAAAGTATAAAATCTTATATTTTAAGAATTCATCAATATCTGCATAGTCATCTCTCTCAGAAGCGAGAAAAATAATACAAGTAATATTAATAAGAGAGAGTTCTTGTATAAGATTGAAGATAAAATGAAAAAAATAGATAGAATTACTTTAATGAGATTACTTTAAATATTCTATATAAATTTTGATGCACATCAATCTACTATATTATAATCACCGAGTATTGTTTCATGAATATAAATTTTATTATTTATAGATATAAGCGATAAAGTAATCATTTCTCGCTTCTGATGTAATTAATCATAATTAACGATGAAGAAATTGTGCATTCGTTAAGTTATTGTTTTTTGTTCATCGAGTATTGTATAATAAATTAATAGAATAAGAAAAATTTTTAATAATTACAAAAAATATTACATATTATACTGTTTATAAAATCTTTAAATTATTTTATGTAATGAATTGTAAAGATAGTTAAATATATATGTCAATTTTTATAAAGTTATTTATAAAGTTATTTATATTAATTTTAAATTCAGATTAAATCATTTATTAGCAAATTCAAATCTCTATTTCATTGCTATGCCAAAATGTAAAATGTAAAAATGTAAAAACACTAGAACATACGAAAACCATTCCTTCCCACAAATAATACTTCCTTTTAAGATGCATTATAAAAGAATTAGAATTTTTCATTTATCTGTTTGGCACTTTGGCAAAGTCTGCATTATTGTTCCGCTAATGTTTAAAATAAAAAAACAAAGCACTTGATTTATACACACAAATACATATACACACAAAAATATTTTATACTTAAAGAAAACTTAAGCCTCAGAATCGTCACATCAAGTTTGCACCATCAAGAGGGAAGATTTGAAGCTCCAAGCGTTAAAGATGTGATTTCACGAATGATCATCTCGGCGATTCTCCATGCTAACTCCTCTTTAGCCTGTTAATAGTGATTAATGCATTAATTAAATAATGCACATTATATGTAATAAATTATCATTATGTCTTTTATTAATAAATCATTCTAACGTTATAAAATGCTAGTATTATAAAATGTTTACCTTATCTTGTTCTATATTTACAAATCGTTTTACAACACGAGTTAGGCGAGATTCTGAAATTGTTTACATAATTTTATATACAATCTTGTATATATACATATCAGCTCAAACTCATTATAAACGTGACTTACCATATTTTCTATAAGGATCTGGCTCTATTTCAGTAATAAATCTACCTAAGTTGTCAACGTAACCAATGCTCAAACTATAAAATATATCGAATTATTTGTAACTTACAAATTAGTATGAATGTGTGTACAGTATAAAATTCAATCAAATACCTATATTTATTACGTCGCCATAAGGAATCTGGATCGTAAAGTTGCCTAGTGTCAATATTTAGATGACTGTTAATAGTTTTCTTATTATCAGGTAATTTGCTGCCATTATTTCCTATTTGAGAAATACTTGGCATACTAGTACACACTAAGCTTACTTCACTGCTGCAATCGGAACCTGCAAATAAATATTTTTTTCAAAATTATAATATATATTATATAAATATATAAAACTATCTATAAACATTACATATATAAAAGAAGAAAACACAGATATTAAAATATTTAACTCTCTAATTCTTTAATATTCTTTCACGAATATTAACACATTATTGCAATCAATAATCGATATCAACCTGTTCTTCTTATCTTGGAATGTAAACTCGGACACGGACTGGTTTGAATCGTGTTGATTAACTCTGATAAGTATTTATAATACAGCTGCGATGATAAGAACACTGGCAGATAATGCTAAAAGAAAGTATTGGCTTTTAATACAACTACTTCAACGTAAGAGTCTATTTAGTAAGTGTGGTGGAATTCAAGATAAATTTGTGTAATAGATAAGTGTACCTTGTTGAGAAAATTATATATAATTTTACTAGGTTTATCAAAACAATCGGGTTGTGGACCGCCTTCATCCTCGCGGCAAATATTCTGTTCTACATGAAAACGAATCTTGTCACTAAATCCAAGAGGCATAGTTGCTTGTAAACTGAAATATCTGTAAGAAAGATAATAACATATAAATTATTTTTACTTCTTTCCTCCGTATAATTATTTTTATTTCTTTCCTCCGTATATATATTTTAAAAATTACTTCTCGTATATAATAACGGCATCAGATTGCGCTTCTTCGGGATTGGCTGCTCCCTGCTTCTCCAAGAGGTTCTGCTTATAACTTATAGCCGACATCCAAAAGTCCAATAACTCTCGCTTATTCTCGAGTTCCATAAACTGTAAAGAATGTAAAGAATAGAGTCTCTTACGAAAATTTCTGTAAAAGTAACGATCGTGAAAGACAATGCAAACCTCCATGAAGTAAAAGAATGCTGTTTCGTTGTATAATATATCTGCTAATTGTACATTGCCACTGGTGAGCACGTCAATTTGATGCTTACAGTGAAATTCGCTTCGTAAAAAATCATTAATATACCTGCGAAAAATACAATGTTTTAAAATGCATTGATTATTTATTCGAACGACACTTATAAATGAATATACGTCACTTACTCGTTTTCTAATATATCGTATACTATGCTTTGAACAGCAGATAGGCACCGTAATATAGGCTCAATATTTTCCTGGACAATAGCCTCCTCCATATCTAGTCTTAGTTCTTCAGATATTTGATTTACATCCAGAGCTTCTTTGAGAATGTACTTCTTGTAAATTCTCAAAGCATCTTGCTTAGTCGTCGTTGTGTCATGTCTCCTACCTTCACAATCGTGGTTTGATTGTCGCGTGTCGCTTATTGCCTGACTAGTCTTTGGCATACCGTTAGACGTTACATCACATGTTCTCTCATCGAACGGTATTTCACTGCTCGTTTGAGTATTTACATTGCTAGCGAGCATGTCACAGCTAAAGTTTTCATTATCGTCTAAGGAAGTAGGCAAGGCATTCATCATCTTTTGATTCGACTGTCTGACTTTCTGTGTATCTGGCATCTCGGATGCACTGCACAAGCACTCCACCTCTAACCAGAACTTGATGAGAGCTATGTGCTTTTTGGTGTCCATAAACTGAATGAAGTAACCAAGGGCACTTTTGTCCTTAAGTATTTCCGGCAGAGCTTTAGACAATCGAGAGCTGAAGGCGCATACTTCCTTAATGTCATTATTGAGAATCTCCTCCTCCTCTTCTTCCTCGAGACTGTACAATACACCCGAGGGTGTCTGAATAGACGATATACCACCATTGAATGCATCTACCAGAAAGTTTCCGGAACTTGTTGATTTTGTAGGTGAAGTTTCTATTCCGGACTTATCCCTTTGTCCTAGAAGCATTATATGCAATTTCATTCTGATGACAATTAAAAACGAAATCATTAAAATTGATGAAAAATATATACTATTGTAAATAGTCATTTTCTAAGAATAATTATCAGAAAATTTAATTTACTTTTAAATGTAAATTTTGTGTGTGTGTGTGTAAAATATGTACAAATATACATATATACATATATATATACTTGCATACATACATACATATATACGTACATATGTACATATATATGCACTATCATTTATATCTTAACTTCGAAAACACTTGCGATATTTTCGT